AAAAAATGTAAAAAAAAAAAAAAGAAAAGAAAGAAGAATAACCACAGAGAATCAGCTCCTTAAACAAAAAAGGGCCCAGGATCTGGAGTCGGCAGACCCACACTTGACTGTTAGTACCAAAACTTAACTTCCAATCTTATTTAAGTGAGTCCCTGAACTCTGCAGAGTCCTTGGTTTCCTCCTTGGCTTGGTGGCTGTTGTCACCAACTTGCCCTGCATGGCGGGCCTACATTATCAGATACCATGGATCTGAGCACACTGTAGAGAGCAAGGTGAGATAATTACATGCATATGAAAGAAAACTTCCAAGCACAACATTGGTAAATTCTGTGCATGGATTTAATACCCTGTGACACAGCTCTAGACTGTCCCATGAATTTTTATAAAAATAAGAACTCACAACGTTCCATAAATCATCAGTTCTTATTGCTGTGCTCATGACTACTTAATGTTTATTTTCACCACGTATGTGACTACTATGATCCTGTGTTCCATAGAAAGAAGGTACAATCGTTCAGATTCTTCCTCCCATATATTTTAGTTACAGTGGCCAAATGACCTCTGGTCATTTAACTAGGCTAAACAGTCCATGGACTAGCTCAAGGGATATAAGTTCTTACAGAGCACAGTCTTTTCCACATTTGGTCACTGAAAGAAAAAAAAACCCTCATCAGAATAAGAGGAAACAATGCAGCTATTTTCTCATGAAACTCCAGTGTGCAAACTTATGACTGTATCCCATGCAGTCTTCTCTCCTAAGCTCCAGGCTCAGACACCCAACCATCTAAGAGACACCTTGACTTAGCTGTCTCATGGACGCATTAAACTCAACATGTACCAAAGCAAACTCACCTTCCCTCTCCAGGTCTTCCCTTCCTGCAGATTTTCCCTTCAATAAACAGCACTATCATCTTCCCCGTCACTGGTGTCAGTAATGCTGGAGGCAACCTTGGCTCCTTTCTCCTTCTACTCCTCTATCCACACCTAAGTCTCAAGAACTGCTTATTATACTTCCTAAATAGCTCTCAAAATTGACCACTGCCTACTATTTTAGCTGCCACCATCTTAGCCCAAGCCATCCAATCTCCTACCTAGACTGTCAAAGTAGCCTCCTAACTGATCTGCTTGGGTCCCTCTGACCCTTCACCACTGGTTCTCCATTAGGCAGCCACAGCCAGCATGGCACTTGGCTTCAAACTCCACCGTCTGCAAACTCCTGTTCAACAGAGGCTGCAAAGGACTCCCACAATCTGGCCCCTGCCTGCTTCCTAGCCTTGTTCTCCTCCTGCTGCATTCTATGACCTAGCTGTGTGAGTCAAAGACTGCTATCATAACCCAGTAACTATTCTCCTCTTCCTCAGTAATTAAATCCTGATTCTTGGCTGAATATACGGCCATGGAATAAGGATCTTACCCAGCCTCCCTTGCAGTTAAGTGTGGCCACGTGACTGAGTTTGGGCCAACAGGAGGGAAGCCATGCCTTTATGAGAGGAGGCATGGCCCTCTCTTTCCCGCTGGTGGGAATGTGGAAAGCGACAGCAGAAAGTCATTTGAATCACTAAGTAGAAGGTGACTGTGGAGGATGACAGCACAAGATGGATGGAGCCAGGTCCCTGGTAACTGTGAAACAGCCGTATCAATCCGGGACTGCCTACCTGGACTTCTACAGAAAAAGCTTCTTTATTGCTGAAAGCATGCACTGGATTTCCTGTTCCTTGAAGCAGTTTTATAACTCTAACACACCACACCATGCCTCCGGATTCTCCATCCTCTGGACTTAGGACTTGCACATGCAATTCCCTCTGCCTGAAACACTGCTAACACCTACCGCTCCTTGGCTGCTTGCATCCTTCAACTCTGCTGAAATGTCACACTTCAGGTAAGTCTCCCTTGACACCCTAGATGAGGTTAAACACTCCTGCTATTTTTTCCCTCTGCTTTTCCTTGTGGTGACAACACCCCACCCATAACTGCTAGGTTAATGTGCATCTCTTTCGGTACTAGGTACTCTTTAAGAGCAAGTATCTGCTTTGCCCACTGTCATCAAAGTGCTTGGCACTCAATATGTGCCCAATAAATATTTGCTCAGTGACTGAATGGACAATGTCACAGCCCTTGAGTTATTTCTGGGCCACACTTCGAGGACTTCTTGGCCTTTACAATACAGGACTCCTGTAAACTCCACCTGCAGCTCTATTCCAGTCAGAAGCTCTCACAATGTAAACATTGTTTCTCTCTATTCTCTTTTAGACAATTTTGAAATGTGCCAACTCCTTCAACAGATCTGCACAGCTCTTTCTGACACCGCTTCATTTTCTCATAATACACCTAGGACTAGAGTGCAAAGTATTATGTGTACTCTTGGAATTAAAAAAAAAAAAGGAGACTTTTCACCAAGTAATATGACCAACATACAAACCACATTATCTGAATTCTGGCCATACAGAGGAAGACATTCTTAAAATATTTTAGAAGTCTCTGGTTTTAAAGTGCACATCACTTTTTAAAGGAATTACAAGTACTTGTCAGTTTATGACTTTATGTACTCACCCTTCATCGACACTGAAAAATACTACATGGTTTACCCATTTTCACAAATTAAGTACCTTTTGTTAAAACATTGTGGAGTTAAAGAAATGGGGTTCCAAGAAGGAGGTAGTGGGACATAAGACAAACAAGAAATCTGAGTGAGAGTCAGCCTCAGTTTTGCCAATGATTCACAGAGTAACATCCTGGATCAGTTCTCTTAACTCTAAAATGAAGTGTTTGGTACAGATAATTTCTACGATCTCTTCCAAGGAAAATATTTTGTTGCCATATCAACTTGCTGTTAATTACTTAACAGAGATGATGTTGGTGATTATGCCCAAAACTAGGTAATTGTAAGTATTCACGGGAAAGCTGGTATTTGCCTATCAATTTTAGGTTCTAGGGAGGTTTAAATGAATCTAAAAGAGGTTTTTCAAAGATCCAAAAATAAATACATATTTTGCAAAAGCTAGTTTTTGCGTTATACGAATGGCTTTCAGAATGTGAATATTTCCAGTATATGTTATCTTGCTCCGACATTTGTTCGGCGCAAGGTGCTCTGCAAAAACCCACTGGCCAATAAAACGGAATGGTTTTCATGGCCGCTTCCTCAATCCCACTACATTGCCCTTAAACCGTTGGAGCGTGATAAGGAAGCTCCAAAGAGCAGCTGATCCAGCGTCAGGCAACAGCACAAAGGTCTGTACTACAGCAACATGCAAAGACATCCAGGCTTGCCCAGTATTCCCGAACAAGAACCGCCTAGCCTAGGCTTTCCACACCTCTAATAAAGGTTAAAGAGATTCGCAGTCGTCTCCCGGAGTGAACAGGCTGGAAGCACACAATGTGGGTCCCGGCACCCCCATGGTCCTATTCTCGGAACCTGCGGACCGTATGGGTTTCTGCCCTGCAGACTATGGGTTCCTGCCCGGCCTCTCCAAAGCCACCGCCCACCTCTTTACGCCCTTGGGGGCGACCGCCCTGCCCCCGCCCCGTAATCGCCAGTCAGCCCTGACCTCCTCGAACTGCTCGCCCGAACAGCCGGCGCCACGAGCCTCCAGCAGCTCCCGGAACTGCTCCAGGGTGACAGACTCTTCGCCGCGGCCCAGCCGCTCTTCCAGCCAGCGCAAC